CATTCTATACATTATGCATCAGTTTTTTTTTTCCAAGATGTCAGTAAAAATATATCAATGCTGGAGTCTTTCTCTCCTTGTCAATAACGGGAGACAATCTGTTTATTCACAACACAACTCATAACGGATTGCTACGGTTTGCAAAGTAAATTAGAGCTATTTTGTCAAGCGTCATTTCTTCTCGTTAACGCAGCTGCGGCGGCTGAATATATTTTGTCCACGAGAATCTCGAGTGATTGTTGCAAAATAGCGTTGTAATGGCATAAGCGTCAACCGTTGCAGTCTCGCGTCATCCTGTCTGTAAAACGGACAATGTATAGTGACAAATTTGCATTGCTGCAACGCGAAACAGTCAAAATGTCACGCACAACAATGCTTAACGCGCGCGGACAATATATTCACGGCCGCTCAAGTGGTAGTTACAGTTACAAGTCTATATAGAGAACACTCGCTTCAGAACCCATGGCCATTTATCTTCGAATATCAGCAATGTTACGTATTTTAACTTTGGTTCTCTTCCTACGCCTGTCTTCCGTCACGCTGTCATCGGAAGTAACGTCATACGCGAGAGTATCGAGAGACGAACGGCCCGGAAGAAGCTTTCACGATTCTTTCTCGTGGATCACCAGGTGCGTAACATCGAGATTTTAATTTTTACATCGGTAGTTGAACTACCGGTAGCTGAACACAATGTCCCCGAGATATTCTGCGAGATAAGGATCGAATGTGAGTCTGCAACCGTCTGTGCACCTTAGGCCCGTAGCGAGAAACAATACGAGCGTGGAGAACGAAAATAGAAGTATAAATGACGTTGTTATCACAGCATCGCCCGTGTACGTACCGCCGAAACCTCCGAAACTGAAGAAAGGTGAAGCGATCGATCATCCAGCCAGCCCAAGGTAAATTCAGATGTTCAAGATATAGCGGCTAACTTATTAATAATTTATTATTATTGCTAATGGCCTATTATGTCTATACACATAGATATTCGACGCTGGATCACGAATTGATAGCCAAGCTGGACGCGGGCAAAAAGCAAATTCAACAGCGATTTAATCCACCTGCGGCTGGACTCTTTGATAAAGACCCTATCCCTTACGCAAACGGAAGGCCGCAGAAAGGAGCGAGTATATCGGATGCGGAAAACTCTCCAAGTATAAACTCATCCGCTTTTCCGGGTCCAATCTTCCCTGGCATATACGAATACAGCCCGATGGGCCCGGTCCTCGACGACGAACCACCGATGTCCAAACCGATAATCAGTAAATATCCACCTGCACCTATGAACGATGAGGTACGTAAATATTCCATCGTTAGCTTCGATCGGATAGATGATATGTACTGTTAAATATTAAAGAATGAAATTTAAACCAATATCTTGGGTTAGATAACATTTTGTTATTGTTAACTATACCATATGTGTCGAAATTTATTATTTTAACACAAAACAGTATTATTTTAATTTCATAGATTAATTAAATTAACGACATACTGAGTAAGAGCAGTGATGACCTATAGGAATGGTTAAAAATTACTCAAATTAAGTGTAATTTGACGTTACAAATTTAACAGTGTAAATTATTCTTCTCATTGCTCGTCTTTCAAACATGCATCTCACGAGATCTCTCATCCGAATCTCATCGCGTAGATTCCAGATTCTTACAAACCGTCACCGAACAAATATCACGTCAGCGACCAGCACGAAACGGACTATCCTAATTTTGAAATGGCTTCTTCCTACGAGAACGACGGACCTGGACCGAAACCTATGAAATTTTCGAACCATCACGACCGTCCACCTTCGTTCGCAGAGGATTCATACGAACACGATCATCATGATTTTCATCAGGACCTGATCTACGATCACATACCCGTGTATCACGAGCATCATCCCAAGACCACGACAGAGGAGCCGGAAATGAACGACCAGCGACTCGACAAGAGGCCCTACTCGTATTACTTTATAGGAAAAAAGCTGTGGTATATACCGCTGTATTTTAGCATCTATTTTATCATATATATAGCGGCGCTCGTACTGAAGAGCGTCGCCCGACACAAGATCAATTTTCCGGCTCAGCTGGCGGAGGCCGTGACTCATCGTAAAAGACGCGAACTTAGCGAAGGATGGTGGCATTTTACCGAAAGAATACTTGAAGGGATGGAACGATTTGCTGAAACATCCGGTAACAGTTCTGAACGTCGAGTGAGCTATCGCTAAAAAAAATCTCGAGACAAAATTTCTATGTATTTTTAATGATCGCTATTCTCGTCGCTGTATAGATGGTATAAACAATTGGATATAAAAGATAAGTTTATGATGCATAATATGTCGTTAAAAACCATTGGTAAATATGTAGTATTATTTATAAGATATATATAATTTATGCGTAATTCATGGTATCTTAGATAAGGCAATCATATATAATATGTGTCTCGATATGTGTAATACTTATTTAGATATGATAATTATATAAAAGTTATATATTACATCATATAAGCTTAAATTATATAAAAAAAGTGCGTTCCTAACTACGATATAATTGTTTTCATTACTTCTATACTTAAGTACTTATTATAATTTTGCCATAACCGATTTTTTTCCTATCTATTTATGCTAACCATTTACATTATAAATAAACACAGTATTTACAACGTTATTGATGAGTTTATTCGTTATCATCACATGCATTTCACGAATCTTAAATCTTAATTTCTTAAATCTGCGTCTAAGATTCTTACAAAAAAAAATAATAATTAGATAATGTAAAAACTAAACTTTCAAAATCGTTCTTTAATTTTTAAATTACTAATTCTTGAATAAATTATCCGAGTTTTATTCTTTTTTCCGTAACACATCAGAATTTCCAACACATTACTAAAATAATTTATGGTACATAGTTATAAAGGAATATAGCTCTATAAAGGAAGAATCGTTAATAGAGAACCATGTAATTATCGCCGCCTAAGCCGGCTTAGACTATCGTTTCAACGGGACCGGCCTAAAAGTATGCTAATGACTATATATGTATATATGAGCTATATATGACTATATATGAGCTATATATGTATAGTATAATTTTTTTTTCTTGATTAAACAGTATAAAGCTAGTCTCAGAAATGATTCATAAACATCATATTATCATTGGGACAGGAAAAGCGTAAAAATCGCAATTTACTTAGCTCCCTGCTTACCTAAATGATAATATAGCCCAACCTATTTTTCGATAATCTCATTGATATTTTTAAATTAAAATGTATATAATCGCAACAAGTATCGAATGGCACAATTAACAGCTTAACCAATAATTATAATCATATGTAAAAAAGGCATGTAATAATTTAAAAAATCGCTAGGCTTAAACAATAACATTGACGCGTCACTTAGAAACGATCAATGAAACTGGAGTGCTACCGAACGTTTACTATATAACGAGGCACATCGAATGGCACATGGCGCGCGGCTTAACAAATAATTATAATACCTAATTTAAAACATCGCTAGACTTAAACAATGACATCGACGCGTCACTCAAAAACGATCAATGAAACTCGGGTGCTACCGAACGTTGCAACGGAATCGGCTTGTAAGCGACGTTGCGAAAGATCTGTAACAATTAGAGTAATTATCGCTTAGGGATTTGTGTGCACTTAACGTTACCGTCGATATAGTTACCGTTGCGCGTATGCCGGACGAAGCTGCTATAGAAACTAGGTCCAAGAATCGCATTCAGTACCTCAGACGACCAAAGGTTTTTCACTCCGAGACTTCCTTGCTGTGCTACTCGGAAATGACGAGCTTTTACTACATGGGACAGCGTGTAGCGTGACAATTGTTAATGGTGGAATGGTGTCTGTCATGTGTGTGAAAAGAAAAACAGTGCAATATATCTTAAAGATTAACATGGGTCAGTATTACTTTTATATTATTAGAGTTATTATTAAGAGATTTACATACAAGATACGAATATCATGTGTACGAATCCAGGTAGATAAATCTGTCGAAAATAAATTTCGCAAAGTGTCTGCTACAAATTTTGTTGGCACAATACCAACAGAGATGTAACATCAGGAATCTGCTAACAAAATATGATGATAGATTGATTACGGAAATTGAAGACTGCTATTTCATAATTAAAAGACGACGATGGTTTACATTTTATTTGTACGGTTAAGAAATGACAGATTCTGCTGGCAATCTACTGTCAGATTATGTCAACAGACTCTGCTGGCGAAATATGCGAGCTTAATGCGGATGTAGTTGACGCGGATTTATACCGCAATATTCTATCCAAACCGACTAGCATATTGCTAACATTTTATTTATTGGGAAATTGTACTTCTAACATGATCAAGGACTGTGTATGTAATTTTCATTATAGGTATATATATATATATATATATAAATAATATTATAATTTCACAGGCTCAATAAACAATCGATTAGTCAAATTCGTTCTGTTGTCGATCTGCATTTATCACGCCTCTGGCGAAATGAATATGGAAAATGCAGAAGGATCGATTTCGAAAACAGGAACATCTAGAGAAAATACTGAGCTGACTACGATCCCGCAATCTATCAGGTAAATATGTGAATGCAATTCTTTATTAACTTTAGCGACTATTTAAGCCTGGACAAACTATACCTAATTCGCATTAAATAATCAAGATAGAATTTTATCTATAATTTTATATGTTGTTTATTTTAATAGATACGCGTATAGTTTAATATATATATCCTATACATGTATGTTCTGATTCTTCAATTATTTTTCCAATATACACGACACGTAAAATATCCCAGCAAACACAGAATACATTGCTAGCAAATTGCTCACTCGGTGTATTCTGTGTTTGCTGGGTGAATTTGAAATAAATTTCGTAAATTCTAACGCAAATTTTAGATCTAATTTTAGAGTAGGTTTTACTGTAATTGCTTCGAATGTTAATTTTCATCGCGATATAAAAGCTCAATTTTCTTTAATCTTTATAATATATAAAGAAATATAAAGCGCAAAACTAATAACTTATCACCCCGCTAACAATAAGTCACATTTTATCCATAGGAGCAGACGAAACAAAGCGTACAGATGGGATTATAACAGAGGTGACTACGCCGACCATCACGACGATCACGATGAGGACATGAATGACGAGGAGAACGGTCAAACGAAAGCGATGGATCAACCTAAGACTGATTATTGGGCCGGCTATTATGATTTTCTGATAAACGAAGGAAGCTTCAAATTCTGGGCTGTTTTTCAGGTAGATCTTGATCTTCTTTAATTTTAACCACCTGATTTTTTTTACGTAATCATGTAAATTTAATTTAAACACGTATTATCGTATTTGTGCATCAGCTCGCGACTGCGGCTCTTCTAATCTACAGCGGTTTCGCGGCTCTCTACTACGCCAAAGTGAATCCGCCGACCACGGACGATTATTTCGACGATATAATCCGCCGGCGACGACGACGAAGAAGACGCCGCTCGCTTCCGCTCGCAGCCCGCGACAAACCCTTTGCCGGACTCGATTCCATCACGTTTCAAAGGATAATCGAGGCTGCTGAACGAGCGCGTTGATTTTTTATCGCTTCTTTGACAAAGAAAAAGTACACCAGTATGCGATAAATAGAAAGTAAATAATTACAAGCGATCTGTGGGGCATTTCGATGAGATGAGTTTTTAAAAGTGCGAATCGAAGAGACATGGCATGAGATGCGAAAATTCAATCAATCCCCTCTGTTTCCTGAAAATGGGTGACTGCTTTTAATCGGCATAGAATTAATGAGCATGATATAATACTCATATGTATAAGAAATCTTTGCGATAAATTTCGAAAATTATTACTAAATTAACAGTGTATATAACATAGAGTGCAATGTGTGCATGTGTGTTTGTGTTAATCCGTAAACTTCGGTACATGTATAAGAATACATTTGTATAGAGATATTAAGATTAAGATGCGTGTAAGATTAAAGAGAGAATCGGGAAGATTAAACGGGTGCGGAAAATAATGAGAGCAAAGCGACAGATAGATCATGTTGTTAGGCTAGCAAACGTCGTTTTGAAAGGTAGTCGATTAAACAATTTGGCGACAACTCGAGTGTCACGTTCTCGGGCCCGGCCGAGTGAAGAGAACGAGCCCTGGAGCTGGTCTGGTCGGCTCGGCGGTTAAATGTATGAGATCAAAACGTAATAAAAATCTCCCGAAAAAATGTCAATCGATAAATCATGTTATGATGTGGCGAATCGCTGTACGGATCGTCATGCGATGCGATACGGTGCCGATATCAATGCCACGCGAACAGCCCCTTCTCCTCTCATTCTTCTTTATATACTAACTACATTCATATATCGCACCTTTAGAAGAATACCGTCGCAATTAAAAATTCACAGTTTTTAGGAGAAAGGAAAAACAAATTTAATTCAATTGTTTTAATTGTGAGATAACTAACGCAATTACAATTAAGATATTTTGTTATAATGAAATTTATACTGTTTTTTTAAGAGAGGTCTGCTGTGATTCACTTGTCAATACATTTTATGACACTATTCATCCAGCGATCGCAACATTTGATTTAAAAGAATAACGATACCTCTGCCCCATACAGCGGATTTCGTATATAGACTTGTGACACTATTACAGCACGTAGGTAACATTTTAGGCATACTTTTTATGGGCTTAACTCAAAATCGACATTTTTAAGTTGTGGAAGTATTCTTCTAGAGGTGCGACATTATAATACAATGCAATATTTACAATACGCAATCCATACGTTGATTCTTAAATACGATTTTTCTTGTCGAACAAAGAGGAGGCAATATGTAACGAGTAGCCTCCGAGAGTCTTCCTGGATTGCATCAGGAGCATATCTGTGCTGCATCGCGATCTGATAGATCGTCCGTTTAATGAATCGATTCGGCGAGTTGTTCGAACTTCGAAAGCCGCGGATTTTAACGAAAATTGCCTAGATCTTGCAGGAGAAGAAGAAGCAGGAAGGGGAAAAAAGTCGTTAAGGAAAACGAGAGCGGCTCCGCTCGATACGGCCCTGCGAAGATCACCCAGAGCATCTTACCGGCACGACATTCCGCCACGTAGTCAGCTGCGAGGGATACCTTAAGCGCAAGTACGGCAATCTTAGCGGGGAACCGGGGGACCGGATGCCGCGTCCCCGGAGCGCGGGGAGACCCGCGGGTAATACCATTCCCGCGCGGTAAGGAGATCGAACGGCGGGTGTCGTTCTCTTTTTCTGTTTCGGCAAAATTTTTACAGATAAATCTCCGGCGGATGAAGGGAAAAAAGCGGTGGATTACGCCCGTCCGAAATCCAGACCGCGGGCGATAAAAAGTGTTATTTACAGCTCCTCGGTACGCCTCAGCACGGCCACCATCCGATAATTTCCACCGGCCGTTCCCTACGCGCCGATCTTGCGAGCGATCGGAATAATAATACGCGATAATAATAGTGGGATTAACCGACGTCACGCGGACATTCCTGTCGAAAATTTTCGAAACTTTGCTCCCGAAATATATTCAAAAACTTTCCGTCAATATACACTCGGTCAATTCTTGCAAGTATATACGGTCAAACTTTGGCACATTGTTCTCGACACATTGAGATCAAGCCAATTAGCACTTCCTCGTTAGTCCTGTTAGTTCTTTTCTTACTATTGCAACTACAAATAAAAGTAATTTATTGTAATATTAATTGTAATATACGTGGCCAGAGCAAGCTTATCTGAGCTTATTTGAAATAAGCTCAAATAGAAAAGAGCAACGTGAAGAAAAATATACTAAAAATAAAAGTATTAATTAAGAATTGGAAAATCTGATTCGATATCTGATGATACGATATCATAATATTGTAATATAGATATATCTGATTTTTTTGTGCGACGACGACTCAACTAAATTTTTATCACTAGAACTTTCGCGAAAACGATACTAAACGGAATTTTTCGCATTTTGGCTCAATTTTGTGGAAAGAAAAGACCGGGCCTTTATCGACGATCTTTTAAGGCTCGTTGCCCGCAGATAAAGACCATTATTTATAATTTGATGATAATCTTTTATCAAAAATTCTTTGCCGATTATGGTTGAGCTCTTCCCCGTGTCCCTTTTCTCCTTTTTCATTTTACTTACTCCTCTTCAGTCAAAGCGTTAACAAGTATTTGAATAACGACACATCTCGGCGAGCTTATAATTACAACACTGGGTTAATATTTTAATATCTTAGTGGGATTGTCTTGCATAACAAACTATTATTGTTTTAAATTATTTAAAATCCAGTTTTTAGATTTTAGATTCTTAAGCTACACAAAAAAATATTAGTACCCAGATAAAACAGCAAGTCTTACAATAAAGTCAAAATGATGATTTTTTTTTTCATTTTACCCGGTCATTATTTTAACGTCTTTTTACTTTATTATGACTTTCTGTTCTACCTGGGTAAAGATTGTAAAATAACATTTTTTTTTTTCTAAAATATGCTGATATTATAACGAAAATTACGATATTTCTATTCAAAGATATTATATACATTTTATATTTTATAAAAAGATTATTGTAATTATTCACTAAAATTTTATAACTGAATGCAGTTGTTTTTGTGCAAGTTAAATTATGATATAAATCTATTAATTTTTTAGATGTAATAAAATTAACTATGTAACAAAGTCTGTAAATATACATGCACAGGATTTTAACCAGTGAGATACGTTGGATGCAATTTCGCATTATGTCCACCGTGGAACGTCATGGGACCACAAGATTCGCTACCGTTACCGCGAAATAACGAGATAAGACAACGGTAATCTAGGCGTCGCACTAATAAGGGCGCGCGCCGTCTAATGAGTAGCATTATGTAGCTCCACCTAACATGCAAACAGTGGGATTATGTAGAATTGCAGAACTGTTATCCTTCTAAAATTACTATATTAACGAGATGAAGAATGTGATGGCCTATACATTATTCGCAACGCAAATTCATATCCCGCAAACAAATGAATATTTCTCTAATGTATATCTATATATATAGTATAAATGTAAGATATTTTTTTTATATAAAACAATCTTTTAAAACTAATGTAATATTTCTTCATACGAAATTACATTACTATATTTTCCCGATATACATTTTGATTACTCCTATCTTCTTTTCTCTTTCTTTCTTTTATTGTATCTATATTGCTCATGTCGTCATTCTAAAAATATAGTTTTACTTTTTATATTATTATATCGTTTTAAATAAATAAATAAAATATATAAATATACAGAGAGGAGAAAAGTTTGGTTTATCATAATGGTAAGAACCTGCTTGTAACATATTGAAATCTCCCGACGCAGTACACGAATTGTAAGACCGATGCGAGCATTGAAATCTCCTTGCCGATGTATCGTTGCTCAAGTAAGTATATCCTCACAGTAATTAAATATATCCTCTCCACAAAATTTTTCGCTAAATATTCTTGTAAGAAAAAGATATATTACGGTAAAACAGTTAGATTTTATCTAAATATCTTCGAATCTTTCACACTTTTCGAGTTAAGATAAATGTTATTTATATCATCGCTCTTTGTTCAACGGCCCGTTTAGTTACGAACGGAGGTTTTCACAAAGGGACCGCGGATTTAAAATGTAAAGCACCGTAACCGTGGGAATACATAAAGTCGACGTGGGGAATTCGTCAGGGCGGCGTGTAAGCCGAATATATGTATACATATACATATATATATATGTATATGCGACGCGCGACGCGGTGTGAGAGAACCTGGCCGAACGGGAAGAACGAAGATGAGGAACGGCGGTACCTCAGGATCTCGGATTGTCAGTTGGTGGTCAGCCGTCACGTAGGAAGGACGTGGTGGTGTTGTCCCGCTTGCTTCGCCGCGCTTCACCTCTTCCCGCTTCGGATCGTCTCGTCTCTCTGAGGAAGCATCGCCCTGCATGGACGCTTCGTGTACGTGCCTTCCTCGAGAGAAGTCAATAGACGCGATATGATTTACACCGGGCTGGCTACCGGTAATGCGGGTCAATAACTTCCATCGAAGCTGAGTTAAATATTATATTTTTTTTCAACAACTTGTTCAACATTACGAACCATCTTGATAGATTGACCGAACAATAGCAGATAGTAGAGGAACAGAATCGATCGAGTGGCACAAGTATTTTCCAACTTGGAGGATATACTCCAAGTTAGTCCGTATTCGCTTAACGGTATTTTCCCGGTCATCGAAAATCGCGGTCCCCTTCGCGACTTTGAGAAAACCACCACACCGCACACGCAATTTATTTCGGCCGCAAGTTGACCTACGTGCTCAAGAAAGTCAATTATTGTATAATCAAGGCCGCAGTGGAGTATCTCATACGTAAACGTCTTGATACCATCTTCATTAGCGAATCTAGCAAGTAGAAACGTAACAGCGTCTCTTTTTTACAATGAGAATGCGAAGAATGCTTTGACACAATCAGCCTCCACGCAATTATCATCATGGTGCACCGTCGTCGAAGAATGTCATAAAAACTGAACTCTGACTCTCGTGGGAAACTGCAGCGTGCGTTACGAATACAATTCGATCGGAAGTAAAAATTCAAGAGTCCGGACGATGACTTCCATGTGTGGCAGCGGAAAAAATCATGCCGCGATGAACGCCGGCGGTTATTACAGACCTTACACTTATCAGGTGAGTATTTTATATTTATCATATTGTTTTTATTAGGAAATATGACAGGATAAAGCCATTAAATTTGAAACTTGACGTTGACTCAAGTCAGTAACTGACCTATTTTTTGTACTCGTAATAAGTAGATATTATATATTCAATTTTTATAAGATTAATAATGCAATAATTTCGCCAGATACAATCACGTGTGTATAATAAGAATATCGTCTGTGAATAAACAATATCGTCTATGTGACATTTTTCTGCAAATGCACTTTTTGGCTTCGATTATTCCATATCGTTCTACAGCATTTGTGCCAACAAGTATTTTAGCCACATATTATTTACAGATAAATTTCAATGTTTATTCAAAAAGTTACACAGATAGTTATTGTATTTATTTTACTGTTAATACAGTTTTTTTCTCTCCTGATGAAAACTTTACTAATTGTCACATAGGCGGTATT